GAATAATGAAGGAGAAGGCAAGGATGGTCAGAAATAGGAATGACAGGAAACGAGAAGGAGAATGACGGAAGGAAGAAGGATGGTCAAGAAGAAAGGATAATGCAGTGAGAGAAGAAGGAAGGCACAGGAAGGAATGGAGGAAGGTAGGTAGGACGAACAAAGGTGGGGAGGCAAGAAGGAAGGAAGGAAAGGAAGGAATGAAGGATAGTCAGAAGGAAGGAATGAAGGAGAGAAGGAAGGAATGAGGGAAGGAAGGAAGGATAGTCAGAAGGAAGGAATGAAGGGAAGGAAGAAGAATGTAGGGCAAAAGAAGGAAGCGACAAAGGAACAGAACAAGGATGGAAGGAAGGAAGGAAGGAAGGGAAGATGCAGCGGCTGAGTAGGCATGTAGGCAAGCAAGGCAGGCTGCGCAGGCAGCAGGAGGTGCAGCTGCTGGCAGGCATGCCAAGGAAGCTGGCCGCGGTCCGTAGTTGTTGTTGGTGCGCGTGTACGTGCGTATGCGTGTGTGTGTTTGTTTGTGCATGCGCATGTGTGTGGCGTGATGCGTACGCGCTGCGCGTGAACAAACACACCAACCACGCACCAGCACTACGCGTGCTGTGTGCTGATGCGCACCGTGTGTGTGACGTCGCGTGCGCAGTGTGATGATGTACGTTCATGCGTACGCGCGCCGCAGTGTGTTCGTTTGTGTCTGTGTGCGCGCGTGCGTGCGTGCGTGTGTGCCGTGCGTGTGAAAACCTGTGTGGCGGCAGTGAGATGGCCCTGCCAGCATCGCAATGACGTGCCAGACCTGCGCGGATCTAGTTCGGCATTTTTTTTCGGGCGCTGATTGTGTTTTCCCACGCACTTTCGTTTTGTGTGTTGCTCGCCTTTTTTCTACATCGGCAGGTTTTCGCAGTCGTTACGAAGAAACCACCCCTCTGTGTCTTCCCCACCTCCCCCACTTCCAATTCCGTTCCCTCCACGCTCTCCATCCTCCACCGTCTCCCTCGAGGTTTGCTGATTGCGGGTTTTTCGCTCTGCGCGCTGCGTCAATAGCGGGAACTAGCACGTCTTTTCTTTTTTTTTATTTTTTTCTTATGTTTTTTTTTTTTTTTTTTTTTCTTCATACGGTGTCGGATATCAACGAGTCTTCGTATATATCGCGAGTGATTAAGGCACACGCACACGTACGCACGCACGCGTACATGTACTAACGCACGTACACGTACGCGTACATGTAACACGTATACATGTACAGTACTACGTTACGCACAACCCGTACAGAACGTACACGTACCGTTACACGTACACGTAACGTCACGCTACACGTTCACGTATCACGTAACGTAACGTTAGTACAGTAAGTACACGTACACGTACAGTACCTGTACGCCGACACCCGACAGCGTACTACGAACGCCACACACTTGTTACAGTAAGCACGCGACACAGTACACGTACACGTACACACGTACCGCACGCGCGTACACGTACTAACGAACGCACACATGTACGTAAGCACGCACACACGTACACGCACACGTACACACGTACGCGCACCCGTACACGTACTAACGCACGCATCATCATACGCACGCCGTACCCACACGCGCAACTCAGGACGAAGATGCATGGATAGAAAGATAGTAGATAGAAGAGAGAGAGAGGAGAGAGAGAGAGAGAGAACGTATATGCGGAACGCCGGGGCGCATGGTTTCTTTCGCAGTGTAAAATCGCAGTGTGGCGAGGCGGTGTATGCGCCGACTGTGTGAGCGTATCAGATAACGTTGATCGGTACGATGCGCGCATGCGCAGCAGCAGCAGCAGCAGCAGCGGCAGCAGCAGCCGACGAGCTGCTCCGTCGCTCCATTGACGAACCCACCGCTGCTGCCCCGCAGTAGTACTCGCCACCGATAATACGCACGCACGCACACACACGCATGCACGCACGCACACACGCACGCACACGCACGCACGCGCGCATGCACGCACACACGCACGCACGCACGCACACACACGCACACACGCATGCACGCACACACGCATGCACGCACACAGGCACGCACGCACGCACACACACGCACGCGCACGCACACACACAAGCACACGCGCGGGAGATTTCACGGTTGCCTGGCAGCCTAGTATACAAGCGTACCGGACTTGATCCGTTGCATTAATTATTCTGTTTGAGGAACTATAAATAAAACTCGCGTGGGTGCGTAGGTGAGCGAATAGTGCCAGGAAAGGCAACCCGGTTCAACCTTTCAATAAAATAAAGGGCATTAAAACGCAGGGCGGCCGCGTATAGGAGTTAAAAACGCGCGCAAGATGGTTGATGCACAGCGTCTGAAATGGCTTCACTGAAACAGCTTTGTTTCTATAAATAACCACAGGCTGACAAATGATGCTCGCAAACAATGATTGGTGAGCCGACGTGTTTTTGCATGTGTTTTTTTGTTCATGAACGTACGTGTTTTGCATCTCTAGCTCACTTTTTTCACTCCATCTATCATTGCTATCNTTCTATCGCCTGTTCCGGCTTTCTTCTTTCTCTCTAATATCTCTCACCCGTCCCTCCTCTCGCCGACGCGTCTCACACACTCGTTCTCGCCATCTTCGCTTTCGCATCCCGTTCAATTGAATCCTGGCATCATAATTAGCTCACATGTCTCTCGCAGCTATATATTATATATCGTATATGATTATCAATCGTTGACTACCCATTTTAGATTTCGCATAGGTCGTGTTGCGGTTGTCACTCGGTCTCTTTATTTGGCAAAACTCGTTTCACTGCAGCTTCTAACTCTCATGATCAGTGTAGCATCCATGAAGCATCGCTCTCATCGCCCATTGTCCTAGACTTCGTTTTGTTCAACCGACTTCACATGGCGTGCCGGACTCGTATAGGAGTATAGAAGCGCTAAGTGCATGCGTGCGTGCGTGCGTGCGTGCGTGCGTGCGTGCGTGTTAATGTACGTGTATGTCATTTATGTAATGTATATAAGGTATGTAATGTTTGTAAGGTTTCTAGTGTATATAATGAAGGTGCGCATTTCTATTGCCCGGAGTGATGCCTGGGCAATCACCTGCTGTGTGTCCCGGAGAAGCACTCGGGGGGTCTATGCAGGGAGTTGTAAAGAGCCGTGCATAATAATGATAATAGTCGGGTCGGGCGAGAGAGAGATAAACATATAAAGATTGCCGCCGCCAAAGAAGAATCTAGACGTTTTCCGCTGCATCTGCGTATGTTCACGCACGCACGCACCTGCGCGCACGCACGCACGCCGCTTCCGCTATGCCCGAATATGTCGTGGCGTCTCCAATCGCAGCCGAATGTTTCATCGGCTGACATTTTCGTGCATGTCGTAAACGGAAAGCGTGTTGTTCTGCGTGCGAGCGCATTGTTTTTGCTCCCACAGCAGCAGCAGCAGCAGCAGCAGCAAAAGTAGTAGTAGTAGCAGCAGCAGCAGCAGCAGCAGCAGCAGTAGTAGTAGTAGCAGCGGCAGCAGCAGCAGCAACAGTAGTGATCGCAATCTCTCTGAACACAATTACGCCCTGTTTTTACGGGGAGGCGCCAGGAATAGCCAGCCAGCCCGCGTATGTAGGAAGAAGAAGAAGCAGTAGCAGCAGCAGCAGCAGCAGCAGCAGCAGCAGCTAGCAGCGTCCCAGGCGAAACTCTATCCGTCTCGTGACGGGCAGCTCTTCATCACGTTTGTCCGTAAACAAGTGTCTTCCGTGGAAAAAACATGCGCGCGCCCGCGTCATATAATCCCGAACATGTTTATTGCGCCTAAATAAAGACGGGGCCGGTTATTTTCGGAGTTGATGTGCGCTTTTCTTCACGAGAAGTCTTCACGATTTTTTGACACAGTTTTGTGAATAGGAATGTTTTTTTTCCCGTCTTCTTCGTATGCTAATACGAGTGCGATACGGCTGCGGGGCGGATTGCTTACTAGCTTTTACTATTATGTGCACGCAGAGTAAATAGATAGCAGAGAAGCTCACGAGTGCTCGTACGCATGCATACAGTCAGCCGTCGTTCATGCCCTACGCTGTGAGATGTGGGGAGAAGGACGGAGAGAGCGAAAGAAAGAGAGATGGGGAGGCTAATTGAGAGAGAGAGAAAGGGAGGGAGGAAGAGAGTGGGGGAGCGGGAGAGCGAGAGAAACAGATAGAGAGAGGGAGAGGGAGAGCGAGAGAAAGAGAGAGAGAGAGAGAGAGAGAGAGAGAGAAAGAGAGAGAGAGAAGGGGATGGCAGAAGAAACGGCAAGATCAGGGCGCATATCGACTCATGAGAGCGTTCGGCTTGTGTGTGGTTCTTGTAGCCAGGGGGTGGGGGGAGAGAACATAATACATTCATACCAGCATTTGATAGCATTCTGCTTCTACATGCTTCTTGCAGTCAGAGGGAATGATTGAATATTATTTAGTCATGGCAGTATTTCGCTTGTACGTGCTTCTTGTTTTTAGAGGCGACAGTAGAATGTAATAAAGTCATGCTAGCAGTTGACAGTATTCTGCTTGTGTGTGGTTCTTGTAGTTAGAGACCGCGATAGAACATAATATAGTCTTGACATTATTTGGTAGCATTCCATTTGTACGTGCTTCTTGCATTCAGGGGAAGGATAGAACATAATAAGGCCCTAGCAGCATTTGACGACAGTTCGCTTGCTTGTCATGACAGTATTTGACGACAGTGTGCTTTGCTTGCTTGTTGCAGTCGCGGCCATGACTGTCAGGGGCGAAGGTAGAACATAGTACATTCATGACAGTATTTGACGACAGTGCGTTTGCTTGCTTGTCATGACAGTATTTGACGACAGTTTGCTTGCTTGACATGACAGTATTTGACGACAGTTCGCTTGCTTAACATGACAGTATTTGACGACAGGGCGCTTTGCTTGTCGTGACAGTATTTGACGACAGGGCGCTTGCTTGTCGTGACAGTATTTGACGACAGTGCGCTTGCTTGTCGTGACAGTATTTGACGACAGTGCGCTTTGCTTGCTTGTTTACAGTCGCGGCACGGTCGGCCGTCGAGCCGTGAGGCGACGCGGCGACGCGAGCAGCAGGAGGAACAGATCCGTGGCCAGCAGGAGCAGATAGCGCAGCAGCAGCAGAAGATACACGAGCTGCAGCAAGCGTTGCTCGCCGTCAACTTCGGCGGCAAGCTAGCAGCGGCCGCCGCCGCCGCGCAGCATCCGGGGGTCATGCTGGTGCCCGTCTACGAGAGCGTGCCGACGATGACGGCCACGTCGTCGTCGGTGTCGCTCGTGCACGCGCCGACGACGCACATGACGCATCCGCTGCTAGCAGGCGCTGCTGGAACTACCTCACTCTACCCGTCACCGCCCGGCGCGCTGCCTGCGCAGGTAAGAGACGGAGGGAGGGGAGATGGGAGGGAGGGGAGGGAGAGAGGGAGGGAGGAAGTGGGAGAGAGAGGGAGAGGGAGGGAGGGAGTGGGAGAGGGGAGGGGGAGTCGGGAGAGAGAGAGAGGGGGAGATGGAGAGTCGGGAGGGAGAGGGAGAGAGCGAGAGAGGGAAGATGCAGAGGGCGCGGAAGGTAGAGAGAGAGGAAGAAGGGAGATAGAGAGCTCAGAGTGCGCGGAAGGGAGTGGAAGAGTGGAGATGCAGAGGGCGCGGAAGAGGATGAGACGAGGGGAGGGCGAGATGAGGGGAGGATGGGTAGGGAGAGTCGGGGGAAGTCGTTGAGACAAGAGGGTGGGGATGAGAGAGGGAAGTACGATAGGTGAGTGGAAGGACGAGAGAAGGGGAGGAAATAGCGAGAGGCAATATAAGGAAGACGGTAAGGGGAAAGGCATGAGAGAAGGAGTCGAGAGAGCGAGAATAGAGAAGCACCAAGCGGCTTTCCCTATCGTTCATTGATAATCACGTTATAAAGATCTTCTTGAATTCATGCATACTATGTGCGTCCTGTGCGCACGCGTGTTATGAGTGTGGCGGCGTGTGCGTGTGCGTGCGTGTGCGTGAGTCGTGTTCGTTGATGCGTATGCGCGTTCGTATGCCTACGTGCGTGCTTGTTTGCTTGCGTGCGCGCGGTGCGTGAGTGCGTGCTCGTTGATGCGTGAGTGCTTACGTGCGTGCTTGCGTGCGTGTGCGTGATGTATTGTCTGTGATGTGCGTGGGCGTTGTGTTGTGTTGCGTGGTGCGTGTGTGTGCGTGTGTGTTGTCGTGTGTATGTGTGTTGCGGTGTGCTGTGTGTCGGTGTGCGCGTTTGGTGCGTGCGCTTTCGCTGCACGTCACGCTAACTCTCCTTCCCTCTACCCCCCCCCCTCGGCCACCCCCGCCCCCCACCCCCACCACTCCCCCCGCTGATCTCACGCAGCGTTCTTCTCGTGTCTTCCTCCCCGCAGGTGTCACTTGTGTGCGAACGCGCGCAGCAGGTACCGGCAGGTGGCGCTGCTGTCCGCGCCTTCCACCTCAGCGAGCTCCTCGTCGGACGAGAACACGGGCCGCCGCCTCCGCCGCCGCCGCCGACGCAGCATCGTCGCCGACGCCGCCGCCGCCGAAGCCGCGGCCCGCGCACGAGAAGGACGGCGGCGCGCAGCATCCGCTTAGCAAGTCCATCTTCCCGCAGCCGCAGTTCGTCGCCAGTCCCTTCAGCACGGCTATGCCGCCGCATCTCACGTACGTAGTGCGCGGGGGGGGGAGGTTGTCGGGGTTGGGGTGGTCGTCAAGGTTGGGGGTCATGGGTCGAGGGGGGCGTCGTCAGGGTTGCGGTCGAGGTTGGGGTCATGGGTCTATGGGGTGGTCGTCAAGATTGGGGGGTCATTGGTCGAGGTTGGGGTCATGGGTCGAGGTTGGGGTCATGGGTCGGGTTCATAGACCGAGGGGTCAAAGTTGGGGTTGTGGTCGAGGCATCAGCGTCAGTGTCGGAGTCAGCATTTCTGGGGTTCGGTGTCGGGGGTGTTGGGTGGGTGGGGGTCGGCGTGTATGTGCATGTGCTAGGAGTTGCTCATAGAGTTACTCTTGCTGCAGTCGAACTTATGTATGAAAGTGTAATTTAAGAAAAGGTGGACAGTGATTTCCGTTCTATAGGCGTGCCTTTCACGGCATAATTTTCTGCCTAGGGAAACACTAACGGGAATCTTTTATGGAAAGACATTCGGGTCAGATAGGTGTCTGCCAACATGAAATGAATGCATTCGACCCCCTCCCCCCACACACACCCCTATGTTTTGGTCAGTTCGTCATAGCTTATTACACCACATGCTGGATTTTATGGCTTCTTCTCTATTGCATCTTTCTTCTGGCGTGTTTTCTTTGGCTTGCAATGCCGCGTACTGGTTTTTCTAATGTTATCCAACAGCTCTCCCAGAACTCGGCACTTCATGTTGACGGAACGTTTGCTGTATGTCCTCTGCGGTTGTGTGCCGTTGCCTAGTGACGTCTCATCTTCTATCAGGCTATCACTTGGGTGGTTCCGCGTATTCAGGCTCGAGGCATACGTAGTGTTAGCAACTGGATCATAGTGCATAGGAGGGCTTCCTCCATGCACTCGCCTCTGGCCATCGCATCAGCTCAGTAAACGCAGTTGCAATGAATTTAATTCGCCGATAGTGAGGAGTTGAAAGTTGAAGAACTTGATTAGTTATGATTAGTCCTCTATTTCTTTGCCATCACTCGGCGTCTTGGATTTAGTTGTGGCAATCTGTGATTTTTGTTTAGCAACCAGTTTCTGTGTAGAGTCAACGAAATTCCATGCGAAATGTGAAATTCTATAAGAAGCGGTAGCAAGTGCGACGTTGCCCGTACATATTTTCACACGACAGGGGTACGCAATTACACACGCGCGCGCACGCACGCACGTACACGCACGCACGCACGCACGTACACACGTACACACACGCACGCACACGCACGCACGCATACAGTCATTACGTGCATGCTTCTCTTATCAGGAATTTCGACTGCGTGATCGTGAGTTTTTTCTGTCTGTCGCTCATGTTTCTGTTGCACAAAGGAAACCTTCGGCTCTGTTGTTAATTAAAAGAGACCTTCGGCCCCCTTCCATATAACCTGCGCCGGTCAAGGACTCGGGTTGAAGTAATTATTACGAGAGTTTTCCAGTTTTTTCACCACTCATGATACCTACCGTTATTGCTTGAGTAACAGAAATTGTCTAGAGTAACGATAAAATGTCTTAGAACCTTCGTATTCACCAAAACATGCAATTTTCGAACTAGTTTGGTAAACAATCGTTTGCTGTAACCTTGAAACTAGAGTCGGTTGTATTGGTCTAGCTAGTAGCGCCGCCGCCTATCTCCCATAGACATACAGTCTCTCTCAAATGCAGTTATTTTTTATTTGTCACCGACAATTTACCAAGTTTACCAATTCTGTCATTATCGCGACACGATCAAATGCATTGCTGTTACGATGTGTTCATATCCAATTTTCTATATATGCTATAACTGCATCAAATCGTAGTGTTTTTAATGCTGGTGTAATCAGTGATATATCTGCTGTGAGGTGAGACTATATTTTGCTATATTTTTTTTGGTTGAGGATTTTTGAGCAAAACTCTCGTAATACTGGCTTTAACCCTAGAGAGCATGAACCATGAAGGAATGCAGTGAAAATTAGTGTAGTTGGTCAAAAATCTTTAAAATTGTGTAGAAATCGAATAGATTGTTTTTTTAATTTTCCAAAAGGTTTTTGCCAAATTTGGGGTGGGACTCATATTTGAGTTCACAGGCATTTGTGGATGATGCCCTTAAAAAATATATATAAATTAATGTAAAAAATTGCAATTTTCTGCAGATTAACACTTTATTCATCTTTAGTATGTATACATATTGAAAAGATCGGTGACAAATCACGTTTCCACTTTTTGTGATAAAATAATAAGCAATTCTTGTCATTTGTGAGGCAAATGATGAGAGATATGAGTGGGGCGCCCTGAGAGCATCAAGCATGTGAAGCCCCTGGCGTTGTCGTAGCAACCTTCCCCGGATTTTATTAATAATGAAACCTCGTAGGATGTATTTCGGACTATTTCCTGCGTGTAATTTCCCATTCAGCCGACAGCAATTTTTCATAATAAAAATCCCTCCTACTTCTGAGGGTAAACACTCAACAGAACAGTTTGACAACATAACACCTCATAATTGCAGTCTGGTGTGCACATGTCATAACACGCGAACAAGGAAGTCATTGACATTTGTTATACAGTCAAATGATTTGACTGTCCGTGGCCTGCTCTTATTTTTTTAGTCTCTTATCTCAGTCAGCTGTCAGTCAAAATTGGGATTAAAAAAACTGTGAAGACATATCATGTGTGGCACTTGGATTAGTTTTTATTTATTTTGCATTTTTTGTGTTTTACATTTTGTTTTAGAATCCTATAGATAAGATGGCTTTGACTTGGACAAGTCACTCCACAGCATTAGACGAGATTTTTGGGGGCACGCCGGTTGTGCCACGTTGAATCAGCGCATGGTAGTAGTAGTAGCAAATATCTAATACCGTGATTATAAAATAAATATATAGTATGCACGCAAAGAAGCTGCTTCAGTTACTCCTATGTCTTCCATTTACAGCAGGCACAAAGGCCACCAGACAACGAATTCAAGCGTTGCTGTGAAGGCGGATGCCGTACAGACACTGGCGTCCTCGGGCGGAAACGAAAAGACTTATGCAATTCACATGTACACTCCAACAGTGTCAAGCAGTCCTGGAGAGACCTTCCTAACGCAGACAACACAGAGTAAGTACCACCACCCCGTAACTAGCTGCTGTTAATCACCATGGTAACGCAAGGACAGTAACGACTCGCCGGTCAGATTGATGTCGTCGGAGCGGGTGAATAATTAGCTAGCATGCACTCATTACGCCTCCATATATCACAATTAGCGACGGCTTTATGTATGCGGGCGTGCGTGAGGGTGAGATGCTCAGTGTCACGCTGCTTTGCGCAGGTACAAAGATGATTCGCACGCAGAGGGATCGCGACGACAAGGACTCTCCGCACATAAAACGACCAATGAATGCGTTCATGGTGTGGGCCAAGGATGAGCGTCGCAAGATACTGAAAGCCTGTCCCGACATGCATAATTCAAATATCAGCAAGATACTCGGTAACTAACGTTCGCAGGCGCCTATAGGTGGCAGCACGTGGCGGGTTTCGATGTTATTGCATCGTTAGCTTGTTCGAGTGTTAAATTCAATATATCATGTCCTTGGCATTTCTGGCTTGCACGTAGACTTAATATAATAATAGAATGTGTCTAGAAGTAAAGGGGATACTTGAGCCAAGGTTTCTTGCATATCCTCAGTTAAAATATGGTTAAATTACACTACATAGAAATTTTATTGTTCAATATTTATTAGAAATATTTTTTTAAACTAGCAAACAACAGACGGTTGTGCGTTGATGCGGATGTTTGATGTTGACGTTAGCGTTGCACTTTAATGTTGCACGTTTATTTTGACTTTGCCTGTTGACATTGAGCGTTGATGTTGCACATTGACGTTTAGCGTTGAAGCTGGCATTGCGATTTAATGTTGCGCATTAATGTTGCCTATTAATGTTGCACGTTGTTGACGCTACGCTTTGGCGTTGCAGGCACGCGCTGGAAGTCGATGAGCAACTCCGAGAAGCAGCCGTACTATGACGAGCAGGTCCGGCTCAGCAAGATGCACATGGAGCAGCATCCGGACTACCGCTACCGGCCGCGGCCGAAGCGCACCTGCATCGTCGACGGAAAGAAGCTGCGCATATCCGAGTACAAGAGCATGATGAAGCAGAAGAGGGACCAGGTGCGGGGCACGGTGAGTTGTGCGTCGCCGGGAGGACGGGAGGTTGCGAGATTGAGGGTAGTTGCACGACGGGGCAACGGGAGGTCGCGTGGTGGTCAAGGGACACTCACGGGGAATGGCCCTTGTGTACAGGTGGTTCGTCGTTTTTGTCGCGCCGGTTTTGCCGCGCGTTCGCCATTTGGGGGGAGGGGTTGGCGTGAGTAGGGGGTCTCTGTGGGCAGGCAGTCGATTTGTGGGGGTGTTTTGGCAGTATCACTCGCAATATCAGGGTTTCTTGCGGCAGGAACGCGAAAAGTGGCGCCTGCGGAAAGCTGGCCTTTCTGTAGAGGTGGCCACTAAGACAGGCTTGGTTGCATACATGCTTGGGATTCTCTCAAAATTCAGGTTTTTAACGTATAAAAGAACCGATTAATTGGGATTTTATTTAGCTGGGAATTGGGAAGTGACATATTTATTACTTGGGACCCCTGGGAAGTGACTTATTTATTATCCGGGACACCTGGGAATTGACATATTTATTACCCGGGACACTGGGAAGTGACATTTATTACCCAGGACACTGGTAAGTGACATATTTATTACGTGGTACACTGGGATTGGTTCCCTCCTTCCATTCCTCTTTTTTTTTATACTCTATATCATCGCGACTGTTCCCAAAAAGCTGGCTTGAATGAGCTTCCTCCATCCCTCCATCTATGTCAAGGTCAACGTCAAGATTATTGCAGATATGTGCAATATTTGAGGGAATTGTGACTTTGATGATCTTTGGCACACTGTTAGAGCATACCCTAAAGAAGATAGGGCGATCGCATATTATACACCGGTCCTTCGTTGTTTCTCACACGCTCACTGATTTGCACGTTCTCTCCACTTGCAGACACGCAACATGTGGATCAGTGGCACGGGGCTGAACAGTCTCATGCAGGACGGCCTGCTCTCCGGCACTCCTACCTCGACGAACGCCCTCAACAAGCTCGTGTCGCGCGCGGCAATGAACAGCGCTGGTGGCGCCTTCGACGCGGTGGCCGTCAAGAAGGAGGGCGACTCGGACTGAGAGCGACGCGGGGTTTTTTCGGATCGCGCGGCGCAGGGGGCGAGCGACAGCGACTTTTTGATATCGAGGATTTTCGTCGGCAAGCGTCTTTTTGTAGCTTTGGCGCCGCCGCCACCGCCGCCAAAGCCGCCGCCGCGCAGAGATGGCGGCGGCGGCTGTGGCAACGGGTGCCTCATCCGGTGACCTCTGATTCTCTGCATTCGTGAACGACTGACTCCGCCCCTGGTCGACTCAAGGTCGCCTCCGTGAAGCCTCAAAACCAACTGAGCGTGCACGAGCCGACACGACTCTCTGGTTCGCGCGAGCGGCGCAGCCGTCGAGAGACGCATGCGCCCTCTATCGGCGATGATTCGCGGCGGCGTCGTCGTCGTCGTCGTCGTCGAGGTGTTTTCGCTCGTGTTTTTTCCTCTCTCGCTCGTCGTTCGTCAGGTGTGTCGACATCACGCGCGCACCGGCGGCGCTTCAGGCCACTTCAGAGCCGAGAGCAGCAACAACAGAGTGTCTTCAACGGATGTTTTTCACCCGTCGACGCGATCGTTAACAAAGCTCAGGGTAGCGTTGAGGAATTTGGAACGGGCGACGCGGCGCGACGGAGCAGCTACGCGCGTCGCCACCTCCGCGGCCAAACGGACCTCCTCGGACCCCGCAGCCGTTTCTTCGCTGCGGGTATTCTACGCTTCGATCCAAACAAGAGACTGCCTGCGAGCGCCACCAGGGGTCAGCACACTACTGATACGGCGCGGGGTCGTCGCGAGGGCGCGCGCGTTTTTGTGCGGACGTGAAGCGCCCTCTACTGAGTCCACCGGGGAGTTCTCCGGAAGGACGGCGCGGGAGAACTCGCATGCAGCCACCTGGTGGTCGGCGCTACCTCGCCGCCGCGCCGCGACGACCTTGGTTGAGGTCGGGGTCACAGGGAGACTCGCCGACCCGCCACGCGCCAGGGTAAATCAAAATGTTGTCTTCAGGGTATATTGCGAACGCCGACGCCGCGCGGGACGAGGACGGCGCCGTCACCAGGGGGCGTGGTGCACGACGCGCGCGCGCGGTCGAATCGCTCCGTCGAATCGCTGCATGCGTTATAGTGGTTCTTTTAGCTTCTAGAGATGAATCGCTCGCGCCACGTGTGCGTACGTGTATATTTTTTCGACGTGGAGAGAGAGCGGCAGCAGTCGCGACGGCTCTATCGCGTGTGTGTTTGCCAATAATCTGATAATCACGAGTGACGAGGCAATATGATGCACAAGGTGATTTGAACGTGATGCATTGGATAATCCATGTCACATGCAGTAGATAATCATCCCACGAAAAAAATGCATCAGATAATCACGTTGGGAGAGGCGCGGTGGTAGCTCCCGTGTCATCGGCGCGCGTGCGTGCCTCGGTGGTGAAGCGTGCTGCTGCACCGTGTCTCCTAATTATTGTAATTATGATTCGGGGAGAGGCGGCGGTAACTGTTGATGTTTAGACAGTGAAGCCGATCGATCGTATTTTGCAAACGCTCTTGTTCATCGAGATATCGTGTCATGTGTTCGTCGCGTGTGTACGCGTGTACTCGCGTGTACGTGCGTGCGTGTGCGTGCGTGTGAACGTATGTGTGCGTGCGTGTACGCGTGTGTGCGTGTGTGCGCATACGCGTATACGTGCGTGTACCCCGTGTACGTGCGCGTATGCGTGTACGTTCGTGTACGCATGTACGTGCGTGTACCCGTGTACGTACGCGTGTACGTGCGTGTACCCGTGTACGTACGCGTATGCGTGTACGTTCGTGTACGCGTGTACCCGTGTACGTGCGTGTACCCGTGTGTACGTGCGTGTACGCGCATGTACCCGTATACGTTCGTGTACCCGTGTACGTACGTGCGTATGCATGCATGTACGTGCATGTACGCGTGTACGTGCGTGTACGTGCGTGCACGCGTATACACGCGACCCCTCGCGACGGTGATCGTTGTCGTCATGAATTGATTTATTCGGGCAGCTGCTGTGGCGCCCGCTATATCTAGAGTTTATAGATTAATTTAGCAGTATTTAACAGTGTAGCAATGTAGGTGATTGCAGGAGGAAACGATGTGATCGCAGGTGGTAAACAAGTATTGTCCCATATATGTCCCTTTGGGATATGCTGTGGTAGATTCGGTGAGCTTATTTTGGTGCTTTACCGCCGGACACGAACTGTGTGCTCCTTAGATATCCAGCTGTTTGTGAGATCGTGTGGTACGTGCAATCTGGCGCGTAAGAAATGTTGGGAAGATGGGATCGGACGTCTGAAATCGAGTGTCGTTGAATCGAGACCTAGCTGTGTCTCTGACCAATCAGAAGGCGATGTGACGAGTCACGTGTGGCTCTTCGAAACTCCTCTCCTACTCCTCCTCCTCTCTCGCCCCTCCTCCTTCCCCTCCTCTCCCTTCGCTCCATCCTCTTCTTCATCTGCTTCCTCCTCCTCTTTCTCATTTGGTTTCTCCTCTTCCTCATCTGCTTTCCCTGCCCCAACTCCTTCTCTTCCTCCTCCTACTCCTCCTCCTCCTCCTCCTCCTCCTCCTACTCCTCCTTCTCCTTCTTCTCCTCCCCCCTCCTCTTCCTTCGTCTCATCCATGGCGTTGTTTCCTTCTGCTGGCAGTCACCTATGTGAAGAACGTCTTTCTATAGCCACGATACTGGATCGGTAGTGGACCAGATTATTTTTGTTGTCGTATTTTGTGTATAATCATTTGTAGATGTGCGGATAGTAAGACGGGCGCGCTGGCATGAACACAACCCAACCCTAACCTTCCTCTAACCCTCCCCTAACCTTCCCCAAACCCTCCCCTTACCTTCCCCCAACCTGTCCCCTAACCTTTCCACAATCTTCCCTTAACCCTCCCCCAACCTTCCCTTAACCCTCCCCCAACCTTTCCCTAACCTTTCCCTAACCCAACCCCAACCTTCCCCTAACCTTCCCTCAACCTTTCCCTAACCTTCCCCTAACCTTCCCCCAACCTTTCTCCTAACATCCCTAACCTTTCCCTAACCCTCCCCTAACATCCCTAACCTTTCCCTAACCTTCCCCTAACTTTCCCCAAACCTCCCCCCCCCAACCTTCCCCTAACCCTTCCCTCACCACCTAGCACCCCTTCACTCGCCACCTAGCACCCCTCCCCGTCATAAGTTTGATAGCTAGTAAGCATCGTATCGGGAGGCAATTGTCGTCTGCTGTCAATTGTCGTCTGGTGTCAATTGTCGTCTGCTGTCAATTGTCGTCTGCTACCTAATCAAAAGGAACGTACTCGCCCATCGTGTCTTGCTAGCGTTCACATCCGCAACAATTATTTTTCGCGCACGCAAAACTTTGCGCTCGCGCATACTGGGAAGGCGATGACAGCCAATCGGAGTCCGTGTCCGGCGGGGCTGGTCACGAAACATGCGTCTAAACAGAGGAATTGCTCCGACCTGTGATTGGAGGATAAAAATAGACCCCGCCCACTTTTACATTTTTGGATGATAAAAATAGAATTCGTGACGTTTCGTTTCACCGGTCATAGCCGCGCGTGCATATTTGCTAATTAATTAGACTAATCGCGCTTCAATAGACTCAAAATTCACAGAGATTAAGGCTAAGACATGTGTCTATCAGCTAGAATTTATAGAAATGTAACTCAAATCGTTCTCTCCATATGATAGTTAGTACACGTTACTACCGGTCATAGCATAGCGGATGCGGCGGGAGTGGGCGGGGTCTATTTTTATCCTCCAATCACAGGTCGGAGCAATTCCTCTGTTTAGACGCATGTGTCACGAACATGGACGCCATTTTTGTTCTCGGGCAAACACTAGGTGTCGCTAACCGTTATGTTCCGGTTCTCGCCGTTCACTGAATTAACGTAATGGCAAAACGTTGATTTACGTAAAACGATTTGCTGCTAGGTTTATTTTTTTCAAATGTAAGTCCGTGATTGGCAAACGCAGTGCCGCTAGAGTGCGTTGAATTACTAGAGTTTGTCCGGAGACGCTCGTTGCGCATGCGCGTGAGCGAGTATCCAAGTGCGCGCGCGCTTGCTCTTCCGCACACCGATCGTCATTTTTTTTCTGCATGTATAATAAAGTTTAAATGTAAATAGGTCTTTCAGATTGTAGATGTAGATGATGTTATCTCTTTATAAAGTATATAGTCATGGGATTGGCACTGACACCGTCCTCGTGTACGTATGTGTACTTGTTGCCCGTTGAAATATTTAACACCAATACGAGTGAGATCATACTTGATGTAACGTAATGTCACAGTAAATGTCACAGTAAAATGTTCATTCGCCCGATACGGTTGGTATCTACATACACGCACACAGAGAGAGAGAGAGGAGAATCTTTCATCTGAGCGCGTTTTGACGATTTGTGGACGTTATGTGTATGCATGATGGTAACGCACAGAGATGTGTGCGTCAGAAATTTATAAAAATCATGTGAAAATTGCACACGGTTGGAAAATTGTGCGGGTACCACCTTAGGAAGGCGATTAGGGCAGGAAAGATGGGAGAGATATCGATCAAGTAATAGATGTGGTCGAATCGACTGTGTAATGTGAAGACGTTATTTCAAAACCCAAACCCCCTCTCGAAACGGTGTCGCACCGTTTCCACTCTATATTTTGATACTAGAGCATTGACGATTTTTCTACCTACCTGTATGACGTAACGTCGTTGTGCGCGTGTGAACCTAAGCGTTGCGCTACCCCCGAATATACAGAACAGCGCCTGAACATTCGTCTCCAGTCGGCAACGATGGCAGCAGCAGCTGAGTGCATTCTAGCGACTGGCGGTGCATCCCAACCTGCACACGGAACTCGCCTGACGTACACGCACGCACGCACGCACGCACGCACGCACGCTCACGCCTGCCGAATGCTGAGCTGACGGCTTAGAACTGCGTGTTGGATGTTAACTCAGGGATGGACGTCTAGTCGGGTTTGCGTGCGTTCAGCGCATGCGTGTCTCTCTCGTATTTCGCAGTCACGTGTAACTATTACCTCATTTGAAAAAAAGCAGACGACGATAGTCCGCGCGTCCACGACGTCGGCGTCATGACGTCACGTCGGCGCGGTTACGACGTCCGCGTCATGACGACGTCGACGCG